TATTTGAAAAAAAAAAAAACCAAGAACAAAAAGCAAACCAGAAAAGAAAAAAAAAGAAAAAAAGAAAAAGAAAACTCTTTGGTATATAAAAATACTAAAAAATAAAGTACCTTCTTAGTCCACTTGGGCAACTATATAAAATAGCACAGGCTGGGTAGCTTACAAACAACAGCAATCTGTTTCTCCAGTCCTGGAGGCTGCGTGGCCGAGGCAGCGTGCTAGCAAGGTCGAGTGGGGCCTCGAGTGGGGCCCTCTGCCAGGCGCCGGGGCTCTCGTCGTGTCGTGACACGGCGGACAAATAGGGAGCCCTCGGGTCTCCTAAGCACATTCATCCCGAGTACGGGAGGGCTCCAGTCTTGCGAGCCAATCACCTTCCAAAGGCCCTGGCTCCTGGTACCATTACCTTTGGGGGTCACGATTCCAACATAGACATTTTGAGGACAACCATTCAGACCATAGCAACTACTTTTGCGCTGATTTAAACATAAAGAAACACACAGAATACTAGAGCTTGTTTCTTTAATGCTAATCTTAGAGGATTAAGTCAACTGCCTTTGCTTGGTGCTTTAAACTGAATATGTTTAGTTATTGTGTGTCTTTTAACTGCTCGTTCTAAATGCATTTTCTCTTCTGTTGTATCTCCAAGGGTTTTTAAAGATTCTCCTTTATGCAAAATGTTGAATATGTTTTGCAGATTCTTTGCTACGAAAGCCAGTTCTCTTTCCCTGGATCTCTCAGGAGAAACACTAGATGTTATCTAACTCAGCTTAATCTCCTCAGTAAATAAATACACATTCTAGCCGGGGATCAGTTTCACTACACTCAGCGGGAGTCGGGTGTTGGGATGGGAGCACAGGCACCTGTGGTGGCAAAGTCCGTGGTTCTGTCGTGGGGCGGCGTCCCCGCGCCCAGCCTCAACCATCATGGTCCCCTGCAGGCGACTGAGGACTACTCGCCAGTCTGATGCGGTATTTATAGATCATTAACACCAGTCCTGCCTGCCATCAAAAATACCCTGATATTGCTAAAGAAGTATTACGAATTCGGCGTTAGGTACAGTTCTTTTTAAGGTTACTCATCGTTATGTTAGGAAAAATAGAGCTGCTTTAGAGAAACACAAATATTTGCAGATGAAATCCTTGGATTTGCTTCCAAATTATTAGAAGGGAGAGCGGACAAGGGTCTGGATGGGCTGCAACAGCTGTGGGTTGGTGGCTGTTGGGGCTGATGATGTAGAAGGGTTTGTTAAATTTATTATACTTCTCTGTCATTTGAAATTCTCCAGGAGTATTTTTGTTCCAGGAGTATTTTTTTAATCTTAATACTTCTGACCCGTGAATACAAATTTCAAAGAACATTGCTTATGCTGTTAAGATGGCATAAGTATTGGCGAAGGTCTTCAATATGACTGCGTTTGGTGGTGTGGTCATGGGAGAGCGTGTGTAGCCCAAACCGCAGTCACAGTGATGCTGTGAGCATGATGTTGCGTAGCCCCACATTTCCTGTTGGGGTTTTGCTATATGATTCTCAAAGTTGAGTGTGCATCCAAATGCCTGGGAGGGAGCTGATGAAATACACAGTTTGGGTCTCAAGCCACAGAGATTCTGATGAGGTTTAGAGCAGTGTCCCCAAATTTACAGTTTTAGTAAGCTCATGAAGTGACTCACTGGCTCTACTTACTGTTAGGTTTTCCTTTCATTGAGGTAGAGAAAACACAAAATGCAGTTATGAATTATTTTAATTAAGGCTTTTTGCGACAAAGATGACTTCAAGGTTTTGTGGGCTATATCTTTAAAAGCAAATCCACTTGGAAGACACTATTTACAAACCTGTCTTCGCTGCCATTGCCATTTTTAGAACTGCATCATGAGAAAGGAGCAAGGAGGCCAAATGATGACAATACCGGCCCCCAAAACCTATTCTATGACGTTAGGAGTACATGCCCAGTTTCTCCAGCGAAAGGTTTAGCTCTATGCAAGGAAAAGGCTGAACAGCCTGAACAGAAGCTCTGTTCGTGTTGGCCCATACAGGCCAGCTGAGAGCCGCCTTACTTGGAGGTGTGGGTCTTCTGCTCTCAGTCTTGGCTGTGCGGTGCTGACGACACAACAGGACATTTGGTGCCAGAGGCAGAGGTGGTGTCATTTCCAGCGTGGCAAATGAGGAATTCCCAGTCACGCTTGCTTAGAAACATGGTACATAAATGTAAAGCGCCAATGGGCAGAAGGAAGAGAACGGAATGGGCATGTGTTGAAGGCCCACTATGCACCTGGGGCCTTGTATATACTGGTTCGAGGAGCCAAAGCTGTGCTGGGCGAACACAGAGTTCCCAGTCTGTATATAGCTTTGTGCAGTTATGGCTAAGCCATGGCCAGCGCACTTTATTGAGGATGTTAGCATATCAGGAATATAAATGAAGACATGGTGTTTTCTGACCCAGACTGCAAAGCCCAAAGGGTACCAAATGAAAACAGGTCATTTATATATAGCAGTAGTTGAAAAAAAGAAAAGAGGAGTTAGAAAATGAGAATGGAATAACATTTTCTTGTTTCTATTCTGAGGTAGCTGTCAAAAATCATGGTCAAAGACAAAGACGTCTACCAAGTTGGAGTGCTGTTATCCCTACAGTAAGGGGCCCTCGCCAGTCCCGCTCTCCCCGTGTCTGTAGTAAGCTCAGCGGAAAGGCACTGTGGGGTCTTCCTGGTCAGGCAGGGGTCCTACCCATCTAAGGGCTGCGCCCCCCCCGGCGGAGTTCATTTAACTGCCTCGTGAGCTACAGGTCATCACCACTCAAGGCAAGTCTAGAATCTGCTTTACGCTCGAACATCCGTGACTTTTTTCATTAAATACACCCAGAATAAACTAACATTGACAATTCATGCTCTAGTGTCGGATCTTCTGTGGCCTTTATTAAGACCTTAAACCTAGTTCCTTTACCCTAAAGATGCTGAACGTGGGGGTAAAACCTAAGGGAAATACTTCCTCACTAAAACTTGAACTTGCGGGACCACAGCCACCCCAGCCAGGGCCGAGTGGGTGGGGTCTATCGCTGTGTCAAGTGCCAGGCCTGCCGTTCTAGAGGCGAGCCTGGAACACACAGCCCCAAGGGGAGCCCGGCCCTGTGAGCCTGCCGTGTCTACGCAAGCCTGCTCCACGGAGGAATGCTAAGTTCCATGGCTTCTGACCTCTGAAACCGCGCTAAGCCATCTGTAGCGGTCTCATGCCCCCCGGGACCACTCAGTGGGTTTACGTGCCGAGGCATCTGGTGACAGAACGGCATGCTCCCGTTCGTGTCTACATGGCAGAAAGGCATGAGTTGGGTGTATACGGCTTTTAGTGCTAGTGCTCACCCTCATCTAAAAGGGGAATCGAGGGAGGAGAGGCCAGGCCCACGGGGATGGCCATTTGCATTTTATACTCTGAACACAGTACTGGCTCTGGTGGATTCGTGGGGAGACTGGACTGGTCTCCACACAGGGGTGAGGCCAACTGGGACACATAATTCATATTAGTCTCTCCAGCTGGGATTTCCCCCAGGGAGTTGACATAGTTTTTCCCTAGTGCCTTTAGTACATGTTCGGATGATGTCACCAGTCCCAGCTGATTTGGCTGCGCTTCAGAGGGTGCTGGGACGTGGCCGCAAGCAGCAGAGTCCAAAGCTGCCTGGTTATAGGTGAAGTTCTCAAAGCAGATACAGGGCCCTGGCCCGGGGTAGCGCTTCTCTGTCGGGAGGACGTAAAGGTAGGAGTGCTTGGCGGGTTCAGTGTCTGTGAGTGACTTCCTAGTGCCTTCCTGCTTGTTTACAACTTCAATAGCGTCTGGAACACAGTCCTTGACATTCATTATTGTTAGGCGAGGGTTCTCCTGGAACAAACAAAAGACACGCAAATAGTGTGTGCGCGTGTGTCAGAGTATATAAAGTATGTGTGTGCATGTGTGTCAGAGTATATAAAGTGTATGCATGAGCACGCGTGTCAGAGTATATAAAGTATGTGTGTGCGTGTGTCAGAGTATATAAAGTATGTGTGCGTGCGCGTGTGTCAGAGTATATAAAGTATGTGGCATGTGCGCACCAGAGTATATAAAGTATGTGTGTGTGTCAGAGTATATAAAGTATGTGTGTGTGCGCGCATGTGTCAGAGTATATAAAGTATGCGAAATGCACTCAAGGCTTCAGGTTGTGTGTGTGTTTTGTTCTGGTCACAAGTTAACCGGAGGTGCTGTTGCAAACCAAATTTCACAGCTATGGGACACGAGGTGGCTGTCGCTCTGTCACATCTTCTAAGGAAGTCTAGAAGAGTATTATTACAGCCCTAAACCTGGATTAGCCTTTAATAGCTACATGGTATACATACAATTTCCCAGCATTTACCTTGGATTTTATTAATGACAGAACACTGCTCTTGTAAGGATCTGGAATGTCAGGGTAACACTTCTCCTTCATCCTAGAAAACAGCGAAAATTAGACTGAATTTTGCAACAGAGTGAATAGTTAAGAGAACTGTAGAGTCAGAGACCTGAGTTCTTTTTTCAAAAAAAGTTTTTAATGTTTTATTTATTTCTGAGAGAGAGAGAGGCAGTGTGAGCAGGGGGGGTCAGAGAGAGAGGGAGACACAACATCGGAAGCAGGCTCCAGGCTCTGAGCTAGGTGTCAGCACAAAGCCCGACGCGGGGCTCGAACCCACAAACCTGAGATCATGACCTGAGCTGAAGTCGAACACTTAACTGACTGGCCACCCAGGCGCCCCCTCAGAGTCCTGGGTTCTAACCCTGACTCCATCACGGACTGTGACCTTGTGCAGGCTATTTAACTCCACTATGTTTACATCTACTCAGCCATTCATGGAGATAATGATTGTACTTACTGGTGGTGAGAAGATTAAATGGGCTGTAGGTAAAGTACTTAGAATCACTTAGGATACTGCCAAGCACACACTACGTGAAACACTGTAATATTAGCTAGTGTGATTGAGCAGGCTTTGCAATCTTTTCAAATGGCTATTGTTTTCCTTATGTCTTGACCTGAAAAGCAAAATTGTTAACAAAATTTTCATAGTTTCTTCTAAGTCTCTGTCCTTCGCCTTTGTAGCACCTTCTCTCATATTATTCAATGTGATTTCTATCTTATTAAACTCTTTTCTAGATATTTCTCTGACTTCCTTCTTAGATAAAAACTTCCCCGCACACTTACCATTGACTTTTCAGGTAGCATAAGATCATGATGAGCAAAATGGAGAAAATCATGGGGAGTAGGATACGTATCAGTATATGGGCTGGAAAAGAAAACAAAATTTTTCATGAGTACTTTTCCCTCCTCAAAGGAACAAAAGTAGGTGTGAGAGTAATTTTACATAGTTATTATTCCTCAAGTCTAATGATGCAAGATTCAATCTGAATTCTGGCTGATGGGGTGGAGGGTGGGGTTCTACCACCCAACCAACAGGGATCATTCGCTGTCAACACCTTGACTTGAACTTGTTCCCTCCTCTGACAGACTGGATCATGACTCCCAATTCTTCATCCCCCCCCCCGTATCAGCATTACGCCCCTCCCCCCTCCCCCCCTCTTGCCAAAGCCTCACAGTGAATGGAGTGTACNCCATTCGCTGTCAACACCTTGACTTGAACTTGTTCCCTCCTCTGACAGACTGGATCATGACTCCCAATTCTTCATCCCCCCCCCCCCCCCCCCCCCCCCCCCCCCCCCCCGCCACCACTCTTGCCAAAGCCTCACAGTGAATGGAGTGTACTTCTTTGTCCCTTGACTTGGGGCTCAGGCATGTGATTAGGTTTGGCCAGTGGGCTGGTAGTAGCTGTAATACCAGTAGCTGCTGTAAGTGCACTTGCAGTTTGCCTTGCCCTCCTGGGCCCCTGTGATCGACCATGAGAAGAATATGTCTCACAACCACTGCCCTTTTAGCCTGAACCCCAGAGTGAAGCTACAGAACCAACGCAAACCTGACAGAAGCCTGAGTCCAGATGAGAACAGTCAAGCCAAGAGCATAAACAGAAATATTTGTTTGTGTAGGCCACCGAGATATTGAGGGCTTTTGTTACACTTCAGAAAAGAACTAATGCACCTCCCACTTAATTAGTCTCAGATAAAATGACCAGAATGTGTCTTAACCTGGGATAATTATCCCATTTTTATTCCTCAGATAGGTCAGCTGTTTGTTGGTGCTTCATTTTCTTAAATACCCATCTTTTCTGTTCCCACTGCTTGCAAGCCCAACATAGTAATTCCATTGGGCCAGTAAACCCCCTCTTTTGCAGATGCAAATCGATGGGGGGGGGGGGTTGGTGGGCTGTCATTCACATACATACTATTTCTGTTGGATCTGTTTGCTTCCCTGCCCCGCCCCCACGACCCACCCACTCACCAGCCCTGACAACACCTGACTGTCCCAGAAGGACTGAGGTTTGATTTGGGGCTGGGGAAACGGTGGATAATGTTGGAATTTTGTAAGGGAGGATGGGCCTGGGTAGCTGCCCAGCCCAGTGCTATGAGGCAGCACAGGGGCTGAAGAAAAGGACACACAGAAAGGTAAGACGATGGCGCAAACACCTCAACAAGTGGCTTAAAGTTAAACTTGATGGCAGAAAGGGAAAGAAACTCTCTTCCTAACTCCACTAAAGAATACTTTGCTCTCAACTCAGTGCTTTTGACTCCTATAACTGGTTTTAAGATTTGGTTAAGTTACAGACTTATAACTTCTTTAAGAACAAGCCTGGGGGCCTAGCCATGGTAGTTTCCCAGTTTCAGACTGGTTTTGCTGAACTTTTTATTGAAATGCATTCAGAAAAGTGCTCATATACAGCTCAATGGAGTTTCACAAGTGACAACAGCCATGTGACCAGGACCTAGAGCAAGGAAAAGAACATTATCAGCTCCCCAGAAAGCCCTTCTGGGGTCCCCATCCAATCATCATCCCCCCTCCACCCCCCGCCTCCTCCCAAGGTTACTATTATCTCATCTTTTAATAACACACATGGCTGTTGCCTCTTTCTGTGGCGGAATCCCACAGCAAGGGGCAGGTCTGGCTTCTGTTGCTCTGCTCTGCACTGCATTCGTGAGATTCACCCATATTATTTTTGTAACTGCAGAATATCATTCTCACGGCTGCAATTATGCAGCCATTTATTTTCCTTTTAATAATAATCAATAAATCAATAAAGAGTCATAGCCAAGGCTAAGGAGGTTTATCACGAATAAGGGAGATAAATGAAATCTAGAAAATATGCTTGAGATAAAGATAGTTATTTGTATTATATATGTGTACACACACACACCTCTACCAGCTAAATAAATACCAAAGCTGGAATAAAAACAGCCTGAATATAAAGTTTTTTAAAATTTACCCTAAAACAGCAAGAGTGCTCAAATAATATAAACCATTGACTGAAATCTTAATCTGAGAGTTCTGACCTTCAACTTGGAAACCTGGGGCCATGTTGCAGCTGAGAAGTGAGCAGCCCTGAGCGCCCCTATCTGCCCGCATAGACACGGACGCCCTCACCCCCC